TTATGCTATTTGTAATGCCAGATGCCTTTGGTTTTTGGTTTTTTTTTTTTTTTTTTTTTTTTTTTGCAGTTGAATTTTCCCATGTGACTTTGAATTCACAGACAACAGTGTTTGTCCAACTAGTTGAGTTCTAACAGGCTATGGAGATGCTGCTATAGCATGACTAGATGACTAGTCAGACAGACCTCTAGGCCATGAGTACTTGGAAGGCAGGACTGTGTCTTACTAAACTTTATTCCTGGTGCCTGGTGTCGGTTACACAGTAGGAATTCAATACAGGTTTGAAGTAATTAAAAGCTTTCTCAGAGATTTTTTACATCACATTTTCTTTTAATGGCATCTGTTCCTTAGTACTTTTAGATTACTGTTTTTATCTCTTATCATTTTTCTTTTACTCAAAAAGAAACGTAATACTAGTAGGTTTATACTAGAAACATGAAATTTTAGAATTGCACTTAGAGATAACTACATCAGTGCTGTATATTCTGAGACTCATAGTCCACAAGTGACATGCTAGTTTTGAATTGTGCCCAAGATCTTACTGAGAAGTATTATCCATCTTATATGAGAGTCAAACAACCCATGTTGCTTGATGCCCAATCTGCCTTTTGATTCTTTTGTCTGGATTTGTCAGAGAGAATTGGTTGCTGGGTGGTGATTATGAGGGCCAGTGTGCTGTGTAGCAAAGAAACACCCAATGGGTGGTGGTGTGAATGGATTGGATTATATAGCACCGTAGTCCAGAGCTCCAGAAATGGATTTATAATCAGAGTTGAAATCCAGATCTACCGCTCTGTATTTGCATGACCTTGGGCAGATTACTTAGCATTTCTTAAGTCATGGTTAACTTTTTGTAAAAGTGAGAGTTTGTGAAGGACAGTATAGAGTAGTAGGTTAAGGGCTGGGATCTGGGGCCAGACTGCCTCAGTTAGAATCCTGGTTCTTCTAATTTACCAGAGCTTATTTTCAACACGCTGTTGTCAGTCTGTAAAATGAGGATGATAGTAATAGTGGCCTACTTTGTAGAGTTGTTGTTAGGATTAAATAAATTATTACCTGTAAAGTGCTTAGCATGATGTCGGTACATAATGAATGCTAATAATTGTTAGATATTTATTACTTTCTAAATTAAATTAAACCTTTTGTTAAGGAAGCTGTCAAGAAAAATAATTGGTTAAGGAAAAGACCTTTTCAAAATAAGTGTACTCAAACTGTTACGTGGTAATCACTAAGAATGGGATTCTCGTGAGGAGTAACTATTTTCTACTTCAGATTTTTTTTTTTTTTTGAGATGGAGTCTTGCTGTGTTGCCCAAGCTGGAGTGCAGTGGTGCAATGTCGGCTCCCTGCAACCTCTATCTCCTGGGTTCAAGCGATTCTCCTGCCTCAGCCTTGCAAGTAACTGGAATTACAGGCATTTGCCATCGGGCCTGGCTAATTTTTGTATTTTTAGTAGAGATGGGGTTTCAACGTGTTGGCCTGGCTGGTCTTGAACTCCTGACCTCAGTTGATCTGCCCAACTCAGCCTCCCAAAGTGCTAGGATTACAGGCATGAGCCACCGCACCCAGCCTACTACTTCAGATTTTTAAACAGTGAACATGCTTTAATTTTATGAGCATTACTCCCCTCCCTCCTTATACCAAAAACGGAAAGTACCTTTGTTAGTCTTGATCACTATAGGAACATTTTTTGTTTTAAACAATATGATTTTAAGAGGCCATATGAGACAATTCTTATTTTGCTGTTAAGGAAAGACAAAGCAGTTTCAAAAAGGGTTTCACTCAGTAACAAAACTTAATCCACATCTCAGTGTTACAAGTACTGTAGTTCAAGCTAGGTATTTTATTTCTATAATTTTAGCCGTAATAGTGAAACTCTTAAGTAATAGGAAGAGATAAAAAATACTTTAGTATATAGTTTGTAGATTCTCGATTTCCTAATTTCAAAAGTACATTAAAAAATACTGCTTACACACATTTGTATTTGTCCTTGGTCTATTTCCATTGATCTAGATAAGTTACTTTATTTTACAATGGCATACTTGGCTAGGAGGAATTAAATGTTTTTCTCAGGTTCAACATTAACCTGATCATAGGTGAATTAAATCAATTAAACATGTTTTAATTAAGAGATTAAATGATAGATTGTGATAATGGGTTTCAAAGCATTTTGTAACTCTAAAGTATTTTGTAAACTATGGAGTACTCTGCAAATATGAATTATTGTTGCAATGGGAAATCACGCTGAAGCAATTACCACATATGCTTGGTGGCCTCCAAGTACACTACTAGAATGATTATCCCAGCAATAACAGAATGAATAGGTTTAGTGACTGCATTTAGATGCTTGAATCACACAGTTTCCTGAGCTAATTACAAGCATACAGTGAGAGGCAAAGGTACAAGATGGACATGCTAAGACACTCAAGATAGGGTTCCAGTGGGATGCAAAAACCACACTACCTGAATCCTGGGTCACCTGTTGTAGTTTGTCCAGTCTTCCTGTATGCTGCATCAACTTTTCCTGCTGACAGTGTGGTACGGTTACCAGGACCTGAGTTGATGGTGAGCCAAGGGGACTTGACAGATGGAAGGTGTCTAGATCCAACATTTGCTTGCTCTGCCGGAGAGATGCAAGGCAACTGGTCACAGCTATAATTGGCTGTTAAACTGTGGAGTTGCTTATCTGCATGCCTCTGGCAGACGACATAAGAGGCTAGGATAGCGTTAACCAATGGGTGTTTGATTCAGGGATAACTTAGCTATCAGTCTGGATGTGTGACCTAATCCATACTTTGTGAATACTTAAAGTTTACTTGATCCTTCCATCTTTTCTTATCTATATATAACACTCCTGCTTTCTTCCTTTTTATCTATCTTCAAACCATCCTTTGTATCTATATGCAAAACAAATGTGTTCTTTTTTTTGTATTTATGTCCTACAGGTTATGAACACCTACCTTAATTTCTAGTACGTAATTTTCACTTGTGTTTCAAAAGTTACTTGTTTACTATCTATGCTGAGTTTCATCCATATCCCTTGTTTCTCTTGCTCTCTGTATAGCAAATTGAACATTATTAAATGATGAAGCAAACTCATCTCACAACTATTGTCATTACTGTTCTCTTCTGAAAGCACAAAGAACTTTTGTTTTTTTTCAGTAAAGGACTAATAAATATTGTAGCATTGGAATCTATATCTGTGTGGAAGGGGGAAAGTTGTTGAAGAGTTTGAATACCTCCAGCTTTTTCCATATATGCATTTCATTGAATTTGGTCTCTTCAGTGTTCAACCCTGGATAAAAATGTTCAGCTTATACAAAATTGACATGCCTTAAAAATATGATATGATGCTGCTTCTTTCCAAAAAGAAAGTCATTTTTCATAGCTAGAGCCAGAAATGCCATAAATTTCTTCCAGTAAATCAGACCTTTATAATATAGAGAAAATAAAATGGAATACTCCTCCTGGAAGATGATCTATCTGGAAAATTCCTTGCTAGGAAATTGTCTATGGGAACAACTCAGAAAACAGTAGGCTGAATTAGTGTTGCTGCTCAACAATAACATTTGAAATCAGAATCCAATTTAAGCATTTGTATATGTTGTAAATTGTATATATTCCTTCTATTTTAGTGGATGTACATTTACAAATTCAGTTTTATTTTGATAAGCTGTGATAGTAATCAGAATTGTCAAAATAATAATTATATATAATTTAATAAATCTTTGTTTTTAATGTTATGTATAAATTAGTCTTAACTTGAATATTTAAAATTTTATTTTTAGTATAACTTTGAAAATGCATCTCAGACATTTGATGACCTCCCTGCAAGATTTGGTTATAGACTTCCAGCTGAAGGTTTAAAGGTAAGACAATTGGTAATACATTGTAAAGACACAAGGTATTTAATAAGGTGATTTTTATTGTTTATTATTTAAATAATGAAATAATTTCTTACTATTATTATAAAACCTATACATAGTCATTTGTAAAGGGTCAGATTATTCAAAAGGTATCAGAAAGAAAGTGAAAATCACCTAGGATTGTATTATTCTGAACTAGCTGTGGTTGACATTTTGGTATATTACATTTCAGACCTGTTTTTTTAGGATATGTGCTATGGGTGTGTTTGTAGATGTGTGTGTGTGTGTACATATATATATACACACACACATTTACATATATGTGTAAATGCTTTCATATACAGTGAATCTATATTTAACACTAATAGAAACATGCTATTTGGTTACCTACCTTTTTCTTTTAACTGTATGTTATGATCATGTTTTTCATGCTGATATGTAAGGATTTACAGTATTAATTGTAACGGCTGCATAGTTTTGCAATATCATGAAATAGTATGGATTTTGAACATTGCTTTAGTTTTTCGTAGTGGATATTTAGGTTGTCTAGTTTTTACTATTACAGTGCTACAATGAATGTTTTTCTTTGTGTATTCATCCATTTATCTCCATAGGATACATTTCCAAATGTAGAATTGCTTTATGACATGAATATTTAAAATTTTGTTCTATATTTTCAGTTCTTCCTCCAAAAAGTTTAGAACAATTTAGAATTCCATCAGTAACGTCTGAGACTGTCCTTTTCCCCATACCCTCTTAAATACTAGATATTATCGAACTTTTGCTAATTTGATTTTAAAAAATCTAGTGAACGTAAACATATTTTTTGCTGCGTGTGTGTGTGTGTGTGTGTGAGAGAGAGAGAGAGAGAGAGACAGACAGACAGAGAGAGAGAGAGAGAGAGAAAATGGACTATTAATGCTTTTGCCCAATCTGAGAGAGAGAGAGAGAATGGACTATTAATGCTCTTTGCCCAATTTGAAATTAAAGTGTCCTTGTGCTTTGTAAGAGTTCTTTATATATTGGAAGTATCAATTTATTGTTTGCCATATATGCTTCAGATTATCCCTTCCTCAGTTTTTCCTTTATCTTTTAATTTTTTTTAAAGTTTCAAAAGTTTTGTTTAGTTAAAAATTATTGTCTTTTTCCTCTACCTCTGGTGGTTAGAAAGTCCTTTCTCATTTCAAGATATTAGTTTTTTGTTATATAAATACATGAAGTTGTATAGATATGTACCATAGAATGCTTTCAGTTTATTCTGATTTTCTTAAAATTCCTCTTTTTTTTTTTTTTTTTTTAAGGTAGGTTTTCACACTGTTGTCCAGGCTGGAGTGCAGTAGCACAATCTTGGCTCACTGCAATGTTCACCTTCTGAGCTCAAATGATCCTCCCACCTCAACCTCCCAAGTGGCTGAGACTAAGTGTGCAGTACCATGCCCGGCAGGTTTTTGTGTTTTTTTGTAGAGATGGGGTTTTGCCATGTTGCCCAGGCTGGTCTTGAACTCTTGAAGCTATCTGCCCACTTCAGCCTCCCAAAGTACTGGGATTTCAGGCATGAGCCACCGTGCCTAGCCAGAATTTCTTAGTAAGATACCATAAACCTATTATTTTTTATTTTTTATTTTTTTTTTGAGACGGAGTCTCGCTCTGTCACCCAGGCTGGAGTGCAGTGGCTGGATCTCAGCTCACTGCAAGCTCCACCTCTCGGGTTCACACCATTCTCCTGCCTCAGCCTCCCGAGTAGCTGGGACTACAGGCGCCCGCCAACACACCTGGCTGTTTTTTTTGTATTTTTTAGTAGAGACGGGGAAACCTGTTATTCTTAATTAGGATGGTAGGCACCTCTGGGAGGGATGTTCAGCTTTTAAATTATTTTAAAAATTCATAGCATTTTATGACTATTTCTCATAAAAATATTTCAACCAAAAAGAAATACACATAAGGAAAAGTAAACACCTTCTTTTATTCTTTCCTTACCTATATGTAGCAGTCACACTTCCCTCTTCAGGGTTAAATATTATCAGTGATTTTACGGGCCTTCAGATCCTTTTCTGAACATGTAATGCTTTTTCGTTCATCAGTTTATGGACACATATACTTCATAAATGGTTATCATTTGTATACATGAAAAGTTTCTTAATTCTTACAATGAAATCTGCTCTAGCTAGTTTTACCCAGAAAGGGGTTTATAAAGAGATAAAGATATTCAGAGTATCATTTTAGCCTGGACAGGCAGTTTCTAAACTGTTTCAGGAATAAAACGCAGAACGACCTTGTAGGACTGGTTTTGTAGATGAGTGGTGCAGCTAATGAACCCTCAAACCACATTGTTTTTTCTCTCATCAGGAAGCCTTTGTGGTTTTACCTCACAACATTCAGCCTCTTCTACCACCCAAGCTAATCAAAGAGATACCCTTTTTCAGACTGTTTCCTTACGTGTCTGCTTCCAAATCCAACACTTGGATTTTTCTGATTGATAGACTTTTGGCCACATAGTTACTTGCTACCTATTTTGGTGAAATACCTAGCTATGAGGAAGGCTGGGAAACACAGTATAGGTTGTTGTTGTTGTTGTTGTTGTTGTTATTTTTGTTGTTTTAGCCTACTTTGGGAAGGTGGAATGCATAGTGGCTTCAGAAAATGTGGAGCACCACGATTGACAGATGTCTACTGCAGTAATTACCCTGCAAGGCTGGGCTGGCTGCAGTGGCTCACACCTGCAGTCCCAGCACTTTGGGAGGCCAAGGTGGGTAGATCACTTGAGGTCAAGAAACCAGCCTGAGCAACATGGTGAAACCCTGTCTCTACCAAAAAGTAGCTGGGCATGGTGGGCGCAAGTCTGTGGTCCCAACTACTTGGAGGCTGAGGTGGGAGAATCACTTGAACCCAGGAAGGTGAGGTTGCAGTGAGCCGAGATCGTGCCATTGCACTCCAGCCTGGGCGACAGAGTAAGACCTTGTCTCAAAAAAATGACAATAAATAAATAATTACTCTGCAGTGTGATTCCCCTACCTTTTCTGTTTTAGAGCTCTTTCCACAGCGGCATCTATAACTCTAGTATGTTCCTGTTAAGCACTGCATGGTATTCTGTAATGTGAATGATCATAGTTTATTAGTAATTTCCTCTTTCCAAAGTTGTTATTTCTCTAGGATAGAGGTCTGGAAGTAGAATTGATGAAATCAATGGGTACATACATCTGAAAGTTTCATAGATAACTGCCAAATTATCTTTGCAAAGGCTGTGCTAATTTATTCCCATTAACATTGTAGGAGAATACGTATCTCCCTATAGTCTTGCCAACACTAGATATTATCAGTCTTTTTAACTCTTGCCAATCTGATGGGCAAAAGTGTTATCTTGTTTTAATTTGCATTTCTCTGATTGTTAATGATGATCTGGCAACCTTTCTTTCATTCTACCATAAGGAGTCAGACTGTTCCTTCTCACCGAAGAGCCTTTCTGCTGAATAAGCTTATTTTAAAGAGCTCTATTAATTCTTGATAAGCATAATCTTATTGGTGCTCCTCAATTAATAAGTTACTATAAATTTGGTTTACATTTAAAAGATATGTTGACAAATTTGCTTATTCACTGCCTGGCCAAAAAAAAAAAATGGTGTTAGATATTTGTCTGCTTTTTGCACTGTGACATAGGCAAGAAGAGAAGTGAAATATTCCAACAAAATTATTGGATTATTATGGGTAGCTTTTATAGTTGCATGACTGGTTTTGCCATTGCCCAGAATCAGAATTCAAAATACCAGCCATGCAAAGATTTGCATTTGTTTACAAAGACTTGATAATAATGAAGTGAGGTAGCTCACTATAGTGTAATGTCTGTAAAACCAATTAATTAAATACATTAAAAATACAACTAAGTTAATTTAAAAATATATTAAGAGACTTAGCTGAAAAATACTTTTTTTTTTTTTTTTGAGACGGAGTCTTGCCCTGTTGCCCAGGCTGGAGTGCAGTGGCATGATCATAGCTCACTGAAACCACCAACTGCTGGGCTCAAGCAATCCTCCCACCTCAGGCTCCTGTGTAGCTAGGACTATAGTAGTGTGCCCCTGTGCTAATTTTTAAATATTTTTAGAAATGGAATCTTCCTATGTTTCCCAGGCTGGTTGCGAACCCCTGGCTTCAAGCAATCCTCCTGCTTCGGCCTCCAGTGATGGGATTATAGGCATGAGCTACTGCACCTGGCCAAAATATCTTACTTTTTTTTTTTTTGAGACAGAGTCTCGCTCTGTCACCCAGGCTGGAGTGCAGTGGTGCGATCTTGGCTCACTGCAAGCTCCAGCCTCCTGGGTTCACGCCATTCTCCTGCCTCAGCCTCCCAAGTAGCTGGGACTACAGGCGCCTGCCACCACGCCCGGCTAATTTTTTTGTATTTTTAGTAGAGGTGGAGTTTCACCATGTTAGCCAGGATGGTCTCAATCTCCTGACTTCATGATCCACCTGCCTTGGCCTCCCAAAGTGCTGGGATTACAGGCGTGAGCCACCGTGCCCGGCCCAAAGTATCTTACTTTTAAACTCTGCCCGGAGAGTTTAGGTGAGATAGTTTTTGTAGGTCTAATTTATGTTCTGTATTTTGTAGCTTTTATAACATCCCTGGATTCCATCAGAATCATTTATAAGACATCAGATATTTATAGTATAACATATCAGTTGAAATTCTGTATTTGCATTCTGTTTATATATGCCCCAATATTAGGTTAATTGTATTTAAAGCCTTTTTCTGTCCTCTCCTGTATTTTAAAAAATACTATTCAGGTATAAGAAAATGACAAAGCCAAGGAATTTTGAGCTATTTGAGCTTTAATGCAAAAATGTGAATCTTTGCATGGATTAAAATATGGCACATCAGTGTTACAGAAGTTTTAAAAGAAAGATTTTATTTTTTTATCTAGGTAAGTGCTGTGTTTGTAGTTTTATATTTTAATTGGCTGTTTAGGAAGTTACCTTTTCCATACAACCTTTTTAGACCTTGTAACCTTGAG